GAAATTGCTAATGTATGGGTATTTCATAGAATTAGATTGCATTCTTCAAGATTCAGGTTGAGGGTATGACTGTGACAGTGGAACAGAGATTTTCAAAACTACCTTACTAGCGTTCATCCAGAACTTGAAATTTAGTAATGGTAATAATCCAACTGGTAATAATCCAACAGCAACAGATTTTCAGGTGCAGTATAAAATTCTGAGCTTAGAAATAAAATTTAATTCTTTGCTCTACTACTGAGCTTAAACAGCTGATTGGGAGCATTATATCTTCTGCTTAATGGACCATTGCTTTATGCTTATTTAATTCCAATAAAGGTTATAGCTATAAAGAACTGAGAAACTGTCTTTGCTTATAGGAATTAAATTTGATGAGGCACAGAGAGAGGAAAGCCTACAGGTTTGTGGCTAAATAGTATTGGAAAAATACAGTAAACTTTCAAAAGAAATATGCTAAATTAATGGATAATAAATTAAAGGCAAGGAGATAAGCATAGCAAAAAATTGAAGAAGAATGAAAGTTGATCTACAAGAAATTACATTGTTTCAAGGCAAGTGTGAAGGGATATAAAAGTTAACAAGTATCAAAAGCAAAGGTGTAGAGTGCTGAAACAAGAAATATTATGAAGATAGCAATACTGAACCAAAGCAGAAACATGGGGCGGTTCAGCATATGGATATTATAACAGTATAGAAATAGGAGTTCAGATGGTAGCATCTCCCATACATAAATACTTAAGTTTTCCCACAGCATCTCCCTTTGTTTCCTTTGTGACACACACACACACACACACACACACACAGAGTCTATTTTCTACAGAAATCTCAAAACATAAAACAAAAAACCTGCTAAAATTGGGAAAACAGAATCATTGCACAATATCTTTGATTGACAGTATTTAGATGTTATAAAATGTCCCTGTTTCATAGGTATTTTAATGCAGATAGCAGAAGAAAAGTATTTCAGGATTTATTGAAACTGAGGTTTATGACTGTCTAGTTGCAAAATCTTTTTTCAGAATTTTAGAAGTTTACCAAGAAAGAACTTTATAAGGGTACATTATAGCTGATGTTTGGCTTCATAATAAGAAAAGGGATACTTATTATATTTTTAAAAGAAATACAGATTATAGCATACAAAAGCTTATGCTATGTTAAAAACATAATACTTTGCTTGACTCATAATTTAAGCAACAGTCATCCACAAAAATGACATAGATGATTGTATCTTCTAACTTTTGGCCTCTGCTTTAGTGTTTGCTTCCCATTTTATCAGATTAATTATAAATCTTTCTGCAGCATATGTATAACTTTACTAAGATTCTTCCAGTTCTGAAGGCAGCAGAAGGATGAATGTGTGAAGGCATGGTGTTATATTTCTCAGCCAATTAATAAAAACTCTATTGTTGTGTTAGTACTCTATGGCATGTCCACTATGAGAGAATGGAAGAAATTCACTTGGACAGATACTTGGGCTGTAGCTAGGATGAGAAAAAAGCTTGCCCTAACATCTGTGGTGAATCAGATTTAAGATCTCTCTTCTCAATGTTATTGTCTTTTCTCCATTTAGCTTTATTGGATGACTCTATTTTCTTAGATTATGCATAATTTTATATACATATTGGGTCTTCTGCCTTACTCAGAGCACTATATTTAATTAGAGTCCCTTAATATAGAGTGACAAGCAAGTATGTTTTTTATGTTTTAACATAACTTGTCATGAAGGAATCATAATACAAGCATTTGGTGGCACAAAAAGAAAAGTGCAAATTCCTCTGTCCTTCAGCTTATTTGTATTCACAGGACTTGTGATATACTATATTATAGGGAACTGTAATATGGAGTCTGTAAAGAAAGTAGAGCTAGATCCATACCTATATTCTTGTTCTGTCCCTACCTAGAGTGGGCTAGAATAATGAAGTTATATATACTGTGTTATTCACACGCTGAAACTCTTTCTGCAACTAAGACAGTTCTCAACTTACAACATGTTGCTTAACGACCATTTGAAGTTACCACGGACTCAAAAAAATGTTAGGACCCATCCTTGAAGTTAGAATTGCTATACCAGCCCCATGGCCACCTGATCACATTTTGGGTATTTGGCAACTGGCTTGCATTTACAAAGATTGTCACATTCCACAGTCACATGACTGTGTTTTGTAATTATTATTTTTTGCTATTTCCAGCAAAAAACTCCTACTTACATGCATATATTTCTAATCACAGGCTAATGTCTATTTCTGTCATAAAATAAGACCAAATAAAGACTGGCCACAAAAGTGCCATATGTTGATTTGGGGAACTCTCTCTCTCTTTCTCTCTCTCTCTCTGTGTGTGTAGGAATATATGTGTGGGTATAAATGGATTATATAGGACAAAGAAAGAATCAGATCAAATGGTTCACATGTGTCTGGATGGAAAAATGAGAAAGGCCACACTACACACAAAGATATTGCCGCTCACTTTGAGATATAGCCTCTCCTCTTGCGTATGCTTTCCTGGAATAATTTTAGCCCTTGGACTGAAGTGGAACTTTTAATTGTGTCATAATAAGGAGAGAAGACAACAAGCTATATTGGAGCTATTGTGTTAGAGTCTCTTACACTTGCATGTCAGTCTGTTTCCAAATAAGAGTAGGGATGAAAATATGTTTCCAAAGCTGGAACTATTGCATTTTGGCATAAAGTGGAATGCATTGCTAAGACATGCTGCAATATTTAAAACTGAAGGGGTAACCAAAAACTGTGCCAAGTCACTGACATTTAGGTTTTACTTCTATTTCTTTTAGCCAAATCACATTTTCTTCAAAGACAACCACTACTTTTCTGGGCCTCTTGCATGGACAGAAGTGTCTGCCCACACTCTGCACCTTGGGAATATGTCCATCCACCTGCTGTTGTGTTAACCAGCTGAATGATAGGATTAACACTCCCTGAGAAGGACTGTAACCTCCTTTATAGCAAAGCAAAAAAAAAAAAAAAAAAAAGGAATCTGAGCTAAGGATAGAAGTGAGATGGACCAACAAGATTGCCAGCCTAAAGGAATGTATGGATGACATTGGGGGATGAGGGAAAAAGATACTGTCTAGGAAATAATCAGAGAAGAGAAAGGAAGCCCCAAGGCTTAACAGTCAGAGGAAGAAACCTAGAAAAGACCTGTCCTAATTGATCAAATGGTTAAAAGTAACAGCAGGAAATTTGTACCTTCAGACTTGCAAGATTCTGTTAATGTAGTCTTACAATAAGGTAGAATGAACTCATCTCATTATGTTTCTTGTTTGGTTTACCCAAGAGGGCTGAGAACCAGCAACATGGACTCTTAGGATTGGAGGCGAGAAATGGTTGCTCCCTTTCTAAAGCCTGGATAAAACACAGTTGATTCCTGTTTAGGAAGAAAATAATCCTCTGTCAAATGCTAATGCCTTCTCAAGCCCTGATATAAATCTTTGAAGACACTTCTTTCTTATTATACACACTTTTACATGACATTTTAAGGGGAATATCTTAAATATACCTTCCAGTAGAGAGAAGTTCCCTGAGGATGGGCTCCAGCAGAAGTCCGAAAGCTCAGAAGACTAAACCTCTGATCTCAGATTGGAATTTTAGTTACTTCCAGAAAGATGGCTGCTAGTATTCTCAACTAGAAAATACGGCAAGATTATTCTTTTGGTCCTGTCCTCCTTTATGAATTTCTTTCCTGATAAGGAAAAAAGATAGAAGGAACAAAAGAACAAAACTAAATGTGAAATGCTTCACCTAGAAGCCGCTCTTCTTTCATCTGACTCACACTCCATAGCTGTATATTTCAACAGCGTTTCTCATGCCCCTCAGGACATCTGGCAGTTAAATCAAGGCCTGGCAAAACATGATGTACAACCACAGAGTGCAACTTCCAACAGAAAAAGAGAAAATGGCCAGTGAAGAACTGAAATAGCCAACTGAGTGGTAGAAAAAGTAGGAAGTAAAGTCCTGAAATCCACTTCTATTCTAAAGAAGCAGAGCCTATCGTTAAAGTATATGAAAGTGACAAATAAATTCATGGACTTCCCCCCCAAAGCTTTATTATCTGTGGAATCCTTGGTGGTCTCTGAGCTTGTTTCCTTGCAGTTGTTTGATTCTCTGGTTAGGTAACATTATCTAACGAGACTAATGAAGTGTCTGCAAGAAAACAACCAAGTTCAGAGACCACCAAGGACTCCACAGTTCAATCCTGAGCTGCAGATATACACTTCTATTGGTAGAAAGGGGTGTGCATCTTTATGTCAGAATTTCTCAGCATCTTCATACATGCTGCATTAATCCAATTAGAGAACTACATTCTTTTGACAGTGGTTTGCTCTCCAAGTTTGTTTCAATTTGGTTTGTGAATGTTTCATTACCAGATTAGGTAACACCATCAGCAAGATTTTCTTGTCCTATTTTCCTTAGTTTATAAATGTCTTGTATGCCAGTGTGATCAGTTGGTTGTGTAATTGTTTGTTCATGCATTCTTTTTCTGGCTTTTAATTTTCAGGTTTCTCTGCCTCTTGTTATCCTTTTGTGATCCTGAATCTCTTGCCAGTTCTTTTTATCGACAAATTCCATTTTAACATATGGCTAATTCTTCAGTACAATTCTTCAAATTCATAAGTGCAATCATCTTTTCTAATTGCTTCCATTTTACTTTATTTATTTAATTTATATTTATTTAAATTTTTATATTTATTTATAAAATCTATTTTGTTCTGAATGATAAAAACTCTAAGTTATTTAGTTCAGATTATTTCCTCCAGAGAACTCCTGAATTAGCATTGTAGACATCTAGAAATGTTCTTACATGAGAAATGATCTGATGTTTGTAGATGTGATGCATGCCGTAACAACCTGATTTCCATGGGATTCACATTGATGAATGGCAGGTTGTTGGCAGCCATAAGGCCAGAACAAGCTGGGGCACAAAGAGCATGAACAATGTGAAAAAGAAACAGGCAAAGGGGGTTCAGAAAGGGGTACCCTCATGTTCTTTCCCCCAATACCCCCATGTAATGAAAAGACATGGACACAGGATGTCACTCTATCACAAGTACAAGATGAAGGATTATGGGGCATGGCCGAGGAGCATGGGAGAGAAGTGAAAGGCTATTGAAGTCCCAGAAAGAGGAGTCCAATATCTTGCTGAGGATTACTTATATTGGCAGATGTCATTGTTAGGGCTGAATGCAACAGAGTAGAGTGGGCTGTCTGGCATGCTCACTCTTTCATCTGTCTGGGAAAGATAGATGAGTTTTCCCTTGCACTTCAACCAATCCCCCTCTTCAAACTTCAGCTCTGTAGGGTGTGTGGCACAGGAGAAGAGGCGGAGCGTCACACTTATACCAGTAATGTCTAGCAGACACCCCAGCTGCACTTCACATAGCCTCATTAGACAGCAACAGAAGCGAGAGAGAGAGAGAGAGAGAGAGAGAGAGAGAGAGAGAGAGAGAGAGAGAGAGAGAGAGAGAGACTGGACACCCCAGAGGTTCTTCAGCACAAAAGGAAGTGGGTAAGTTCTCGATGCCATTGTGGTTCCAGTTACTGTGGTGAGGACTCTACTACCTAGGCTGCAAAGATGGGGTCCTGACAGGACAATCTTCAAGGGGGATTATTCATATAACTGTTTTTGTGTGTAAATTTATGCACATATTATGATATTTTGCAAAAGAGTATGGAAGAATGAGCTAATGTCTCCAGGCAGGAATCAAAGTTAGCACATAGGGTTTGTCTTTTGATGTCTAATGAAATATCTATTATTGATCCTGATATTCGTCAGAAAGTGTTTGTTAAAAAATGGTTTTGGCTCTCGTCCAGGCACCCAGAATGTAAAAAATTACAGGCAGAAGAAAAAATGGGCAGAAATGGGCAGGTGTGCATGAATGGCTTAATGCTGAATTCCAATAAATCAATCATTTATTGGTTACTGCTCTGAGTTATATTTTTTGTGGTGCCACATGTAAAGCACTGAGATGTCATTTTGTTTCTTTGTTGCAACCTGCAGCACACCTGGACAATAAATGGCAGAATTAACAGTAAATAGCAATGGTATAAGATCACATATACTGTATAACATGGGGAAGATTGGAAAAATAAATACAGAAAAGCAATGGTTTCTTTCAATGTCTACTTTTATATAGAGATGGCTTACAAAAACTGGGACTTTGGGCAAAATGCATGAATATGGGAAGGATTTTTTCATACATTCAGTGCTCTCAATGAATGTTGCCTTATGTCTGTCTAACACAGTACCCAGTAATTGTAGAACATTAATGTAAATATAAAGAAGTTGCTTAATCATTATATTTTCCCATCATTAACCAAGTAAAAAATGGCATTCTCAGTGGCTGCTTCACACTTAAGGAACTCTCATATTTTTGGAAATGTTGTAATGCTAAAATTGAGGATTATCAAAAAGTTTCAATACTTTTGTACAAATAGGTTAATTTTTGCATCAAGCAACCAATTGGTTCCATATATATTATAGTAAATATATAGCTAGTAATCAGAATATAGAAATATATTAACCAAAAATTTAGTAGACAAATGGGCGTTTGATTTAAAAGAAAGGCAGCATTTGAATTAAAACAGGGTAGCAGATCTAATAAAGGCTTTTTTTAGAATACATATGCCTATTTTTCATTTTGTTTTATAATTTTATCACATTGCTCCATACACTTTTTTTTGACTGATGTGCAGCACATCATCAGACATTTGAACCATATGAATTAGTTTATGAATCAATTCAGAACAATATTCTTGTTGATATGGATGGCTAAATTTGAGAAATACAGTCTTGGGAAATAATGACTTGATACTGACAAAAAGCACCTGGCTAGATCATCATTGCTAATTCAGGAAAAGATGGTGTTGCTCAGAGCTATTGTGTGAATCGGGCCTTAAGGGCTGATGCATATGTCAGTTGGTTGGGTAAAATAAATCCCTGGGATCTTGTTAATTATAATTTAATCAGAATTGTTTATGAGGAAAGAGAATTGCAGATAATTAATGGTGACCCTGTATAACCCAGGGATATTCTTTCTCACAACATTCTTGTTAAAGAACCACTGTTCTTACTCTATGTCAATCACAATGCCTTTATCTCCTCCATTTTTGTTCACAGCTCCTTACAGATCTTGGGTCAAGACATACTTGAAGAAGTCAAGCATTTGACCTTTTCAAATACTAGTTTTCTGAAATGACTGTAGAAATCCAATTTTATTCAGTATTTAAGTACTAAGAATGAGTACTTTAGGCTGAATTTTACCGTTAGTTAAACAAATTCTCTCATACCAACCACAGAATTAAAAAAGAAAAAATTGTAAGGACTGGGTGAGGAAAATTTGTTTTAGACGCGGACCAACTTATATGTCATATAACATGTCATGTCACCTGCGGTTAATGGGAAACAATTACTTTGTTATTACTAAAACGCACAGGAAACATTTCAGTAGTGCATGAGAGGGGATATATGGTGTTTTATTTTATTCTGGCTCCAGAAATTCCCCTTTTTTAAAACAATAATAATTCCCAGATATTTTTTCAAAAATGCATTGATTATTCATGTTTATTTTCATGGCCCAGAAATAAGCTGAGGTGGTTTTGGTTCACTTAAAAAAAAGAAAAGAAAAAAAAAATAAGTGAAAAAGGTGAAGATAGCAGAAGCAATTACAAATAGTACGGACTGGAATCTGACTTCAAGGATTTTCAAATGCTGAAGGGTAAAAGTGTAACATGGAAATCTTTCTTATTTATCCTAGTGTTCAGTGTTAATTTGGCAACCTTTAGCCCAAAGATGTATGTTTTTTTAAGCCTTCTAGGCAAAACAAAACAAAATAAATAAAATAAAAATCTACTGGAAAAATAGGATAATAGGATTTTTTTTCTTTTGTAACTTCAAAGGTATTATTTTCCTTCTCTTGGGCTTGAGATAGAATAGGTGCAAAGATTCTGAAGTCCTAGAGCAACAGTGCATAATGTAGGTGGGCTCAGAAGAAAAAAGAAAAAAAGAAAAAAAAAAGAAAAAGGTGAATTCAAAATGCAATTTAATTTATACTAAGATATAAATGTATTTATTAAATAGCTAATTACTAAATTTGAATCATTTTAAATCCAATCACATTTAATAATTTAGAAATATTTAATAATGTCCTCCTCCTGTCACAAAAATGGCAATGCATTGCAACTGAAGCTATAACAGCTCCACATAAGTCTAAAACCAAGCCTGGCCTTTTTGAAATACCGTTTAAAAAAGGAATGTATATTTGCCCCCTTCTTACTGATTTTTTCCCTGTTGCTTAAAAAAGAGGAAATTAAGAATTTTGCAAGTTTGTCAATTCTATGCAGCTATACATGTATTGCCACATACTGTACATGTTTTTGCAATGAAGGAACCGATACAAATTGAAGCAAAGTTGGGAAATAAAATTGCCATGTAAGATGTGCCACTTTTGTCCATTCAAAAGGGAAGAGTGGATTTGTAAGCTGAATTTGTCTTGTTTGAATATTGCACAAAAACCATTTTTATCTCAAGTTCATGTATGTGAAATGCACATTTCTTTTGCATATATGTGAGATCACAGATTGTTCACCATAGAGCTCAGTGTCTTAAATCCAAAATTAGAAATTTACAAAAAAAATATATGGTTGGGCTAGAAAATAGATGTACAAAATAGATAGCTTTATTCTGAGAAGGGATCAGCAAAGTTCACATCTAGCTTTCTTTTAGAAGTTCAGAATAAAGGGATTACTCTCAAATATGTTATTCAAGAAGGCTTTCAGCAAAAAGTCCATTAAGGGTTACCAGAGATATAAACATATTTATTTTAGTCTTGATCAAATAAACTAATTTTGTTTTAATTTGTTCATTTTCACAAAATTCTTCAATGCTTTAACAAGCCTCTTTTATAAATCTAATATAAACAAATTATCCAGGTCACTCTCTTTGTTTGTTTTTTGTATATCCCTTTCAAACATTACAACATCCATTGATTTCAGTGTCTAGTGTAACATTTTTTCCAAATCATTATTTTAGTCTGTCATTTTAAAATCCCCTTTCAGATCATTCTCAATTTAATCAGCTAAAATTGTTCCTCTTCCATAACATTGTTTAAATGCAGTCTATCTGTACAGCAATCACTAAGAGTTAAGAGTTAACAAAAGTTAAGTTCTGCCTTCATCATTCAACAGTATCCTTCAATATGTCCAATGTTAAAGTATTTTGCTTCATTCTCTATCTGTAAATTAAATGTAAGTGTTCTTCTCTTTTAATTTTACTCTTTAGTTCTTTCTAGCTTATCTTAGTGGCCGATTGTCTTATTATGTACCTATATTTAAAACATTAAGGAAAAGGCATTTTCCTATGGAAAGCATTCTTATTTTTAATTCCAAAATCTTATTTCAAATTTATCTGGATTTGTAATTTTCTAAAATCAAATTTTTTATCACCCTACTGCTTTTACATCACTCAGCCAGTGATGTAAAAACTGTTAATCCAAAGGTCTTAATAGCTGAAAAGCAGATAACAAGCAATTTCTAAAAGTGATGAAAATGAACTCTGAGAACCCAGGATCTGCTTAAAGGTGTCAAACACGGTTGAGCAAGATAGTTGTTCCCTCATCTCCCAGGGTTTTGAATCTTGCAGACCAAGATCTTACAATCTCCTTGGGAGGAACAACTGCCCGGGGGCACTTGTGAAAGATCTCAAGTCTATTCTTTGTCTGGAGAAAAATTACAATGAACCACAATAATCACCATTTCTTCATTAGACTGAGAGTTGGGTCAATTTTTTGTGGCGCTATCTTCAAATTGCCATTATTTCTGGAAATTGGAGGTACCACCATTTCCCAGTATTTAATGGGGCAAGACACTTCATTTGTCTAACACTTAAAGTAAGATGCAATATTCATAACTATCTATACAATTGCTGTAAGTTTTGACATTTATATTATGACATTTATTTGTGATATTTACTAGGCGGAACAAACAAATAAGGACTGTGTCATAAGAATAGCAAGAACATATAACAAGAACAATAACATATATCTTGATGGAGAATTATTTCTGCAACATTGTCCCTATGAAAAGAAATTCTGAAAAGTATTCATGGATAGTAGAGATTAACTAGGAGCCTCTGTACAAAATACTTTCTCCTTAGGTAAAAAAAGTTTAAATATGATTCTCTAAAGTGTTTTAGGATTGTATCACTTGGATTGAGCCCCAAATTCCCATAACCCTTAGAGCATGTAGGACAGAACACTTGGCATGAAATCAGAAGCCAGGCAAATTGGCATTAAGTGACTGTGTCCATTTTCAGTGGGTCACTAGAAATACAATAAAGAACATGACATCGGGCCAGTTTGCAATGATTTTGCTACCCCAAAATGGAAGAGAAGCAAGAGAATGCCTAAAAAAAGGCCAGCCCTGAAATATTTTCCACTCTTCATTCCAAGATTTCACAGTTCTGTAACTAGGACAAAATTCTGCAAATGGCATTACTTAGGGAAAATGATATACTTAAAGAACCTGCTAAATTCTGCCTTGCTAAATTTGGAATGAGATTTGCATGTGGAAATGGGGGAGAGGGGAGGGAGAGACCACCCATGAGACATGGTGTCTAAAAACACGAAGGAAGGATTGTAGTTTTGGTTCATGTATAGATGCATGAATCAGCTACCTGCATATCAAGCTTCCCAGGATTGGCACATAAGAGATTGTGGGACAAAAACTTTCAAGGAAATCAAGGTCACCTCTAAACACACTGCCAATGCATTTCCATTATTATTGCTATTGCATTGCTTTGGACACTAGGAAAACAACTGAAAAGCTTCACAGTAAAGGCTCACTAACTGAGTACAGTAGACTGGCTAACTTAATTAAATTCCTGTATTGATTCACCAAGACCTATATATTGATTAACTTCATAGTGAAAAATAATGATTCACCTCTTAGATAGGAAAGTCGCATTCATATGGAAAAAATGGCAATGCCTTTTCCCTTTCCAAACTTAAAACTGAAGTTTACCAAGTTTTACAAAGATTACATCTTTCAATATAAAAGGAAGAGATCAAGTTAAGGAAAACTGTGTATGTTTGTCAATTGCAAGGGTTTTTTCCCCCTGAAAGTGTTGTTGGTCAATCTGTAGCAAATAGCCTGCACATATACAAGGAGAATGCAGGAAAGGTGCTCTCCTCTTTTGGTCATGAGTCAGGTTTCCCAGAGGCCTCTGTAGCTGTAGTATGACCCTATTTATTGCCTGTTTTGAAGTAAGACTACATAGAAAGCATATACAACTTGCTGGAAAATTGGAAGAGTGCATCAACTTTCTTTTCCTCTTGTATTGCCAAAGAAATCTAAGATTAATGAAAACAACAATATCCATGTTAAGTCTCATAGACCTAGACAGATTTCATTCTTGGGGTACTGAGTGCAGAATAAATAAATCTTACTTTTCTTTTCTAATCTATAAAGCTGTAAGATAATAAAAGCCCAGTCCAGCACAATTCCAACAAAGAGGAAAAATAAAAGCTCTCAAAAGAAACCAGCATGGCTGATCAATTGAAAGATAAAAAGGACAAGTATAGAAAGTGGAAAGAGGGGCACATAACTTAAGTCAGAATATCAGCAAATAGCTTGCAATGATGAAGTGAAGAAAGCTAAGGCTCAAAATGAACTAAGGCTTGTGACCAAAGTCAAAAATAACAAAAAAAGCTTATTTCAACATGTAAAAAACAAGAAAAAAGTGAAGGAAGTGATTGGTCCATTAGTGGGTGAAAGTGGCAAGAAGATGACAAGCAACAGGGAGAAAGCAGAACTATTTAACTCGTTTTTTGCATCTGTCTTTACACAAAGGAGAAAAAGCAGACCAACCTACCAAAAATAGTGCCATAAAAAACAGAATAGAAATGCAAGTTAAGATAGACAAGAAAATGGTAAGTGAGTACCTGTCCAGCCTAGACGAGTTCAAATCATCAGGATGAGATGGATTACACCCCAGGGTTCTCAAGGAACTGGCAGATGTGATCTCAGAAATATTGAACTATATTTTTCAAAGATCCTGGAGCACTGGGGAACTACCGGAGGACTGGAAAAGAGCTGATATAGTTCCCATCTTCAAAAAAGGGAAAAAAATGGACCCAGGAAATTACAGATCTATCAGCCTGACCTCAATACCTGGGAAAATTCTGGAAAAGATAATCAAACAACGAATCAGCGAACACCTAGAGGCAAACAAAGTCATTACTAAAAGCCAACATGGGTTTGTCAAAAACAGATCATGCCAGACAAACCTTATTGCATTCTTTGACCAAGTGACAAAATTAGTGGACCAGAGGAAAGCTGTGGATATAATTTACTTGGACTTCAGTAAGGCATTTGACAAAGTAGATCACAACCTACTACTAGATAAGATAGAAAAATGCAGGTTAGACAGCATCACCACCAGATGGATCCGTAGCTGGCTGACCGGCCGTACTCAGTATGTAGTCCTCAATGGAACCGCATCTACATGGAGGGAAGTGTGTAGTGGGGTGCCCCAGGGCTCTGTTCTGGGCCCAGTGCTCTTCAACATCTTTGTCAACGATTTGGACGAGGGGATAGATGGGGAACTCATCAAATTTGCAGACAACACCAAGGAATAGCCAACACTCCAGAAGACAGGCTTAGGATACAGGAGGATTTGGATAGACTTGAACACTGAGCACTATCTAACGCTATCTAAAATGAAATTCAATGGTGAAAAAAGTAAGGTTCTACATTTAGGCAAGAAAAACCAAATGTACAAGTATAATATAGAGGGTATCTTGCTCAATAGTAGTAACTGTGAGAGGGATGTCGGAGTCCTAGTGGACAATCACTTAAATATGAGGCAGTAGTGTGCTGCAGCTGCCAAAAAGGCCAACATAGTGCTGGGCTGCATTAACAAAGGGATAGAATCAAGATCACATGAAGTATTAATATCACTTTACAATGCCTTGGTAAGGCCACACTTGGAATACTGCATCCAGTTTTGCTCACCACAATGTAAAAAAGATGCTGAGACTCTAGAAAGAGTACAGAGAAGAGCAACAAAGATGACTAGAGGACTGGAGGCTAAAGTATATAAGGAAAGGCTGCTGGAATTGGGTATGTCTAGTTTAATGAAGAGAAGGACGAGGGGGGACATGATAGCAGAGTTCCAATATCTCAGAGGCTGCCACAAAGAAGAGGGAGTCAAGCTATTTTCCAAGGCGCCTGAAAGCAGGACAAGAAGCAACGGATGGAAACTAATCAAGGAGAGAAGCAACCTAGAACTGAGGAGAAACTTCCTGACAGTTAGAACAATTAACCAGTGGAACAACATGCCTCGAGAAGTGGTGAATCCTCCAATACTGGAAGTTTTTAAGAAGAGACTGGACAGCCATTTGTCTGAAATGGTATAGGATTTCCTGCCTGAGCAGAGGTTGGACTAGATGACCTCCAAGGTACCTTCCAACTTTATTATTATTATTATTAAAACCAAAGAACAACAATAATAAATCTGTATGTTCAAAAAAAAAAAGGACTTGAAAGAAAAATTTTTGGGGCTTCAGGAAAAGAAACTCATGGGTGACAACTGACCATACTTCACTTGAGTTCTATTATGTGCCATTAATGTTCTTAATACACAGAACATGGAAGGGGAAACTGTTTATTTTGCTGTTTTGTAACTCTGCTTTCTGTAGGACTGAATGCAAGTAAAAGGTATAAAGAAAATTATAATTACAAGAAAAATTAAAATATTTATTTCATATTATGATGCAGATTGGAGCATGCAGAGTTCATGAATAAAAGCTACAAACTAAAACTGTTAAAAGTGATGGCAGATTTCAGTGTTGCAAAATACTGTTAATGTAGATTAACAATGAAGCACAATTAACTCATCTAGTCATGTTTCTTGTATGATTTACCTGAGAGGGTTGACATCAAATTTTTAAGTCAAATACAAATCTCTGACTGTCACTTTGTCTGGTGAATTAGGCTGGGTCTAATTCTTCTCTGACCATTAAGGCACTGGAGCCTCCTCTCTCTCTTGTCTGAGAGAGCAGCATCATGATTCCTTATTCTTTGAGGCCATTTTCTTATACTGTTGCAATAAGATATACTCACCAACTTCTTTGTATTTCTTTTAGGCTTTCACCATGAATCGTACCTTGGGGATGGAGGCACAGGCTCGTCTCACAGACATGTTGGAGATCACTGCCCAGAGCCTGGTGCACATGGAAGTATCAGAACATTACCAAGTCATCAAGGAGCTGGGCAAGGGGAAATATGGCCAGGTGGTCCTGGTAATGCACAGGCAAAGAGGTAAAGATTGTCTTGTATAGTCAAACAATCCCACTCTCTTTCCAACTAAACCATTTTAAATGTATTTCTTTGTTTATTTCCAACCTTTATTATTTTTACAAATAACATATCCACAACCCATCTTTCTCCTCTTATTTCCCCCACAACAAGGGCTGAGAAAGAGGGACTGGCCCAAAGTCACCCAGAAGGCTCTCATGGCTAAAGTGGGAGTAGAACTCACAGTCTCCCACTTTCTGAGGAGGTTTTTTGAATGCAGGACTAGTAGGAGTCAGGACATGAAGATGAATGGAGAAATCAAAAAATAAAATATAATTAAATATATCTAGTACAATTATATTTACATTTTCTTAAAATGTCTTCCTTCTACCACTTGAAAAATTGAAATTTGATTGAGGTGAACAATAAGGGCTATATTCAAAGCTATGGAGAGTGTATGAAATGCTGGAGTTTCAGGTTAGGCTGTCCTGCTTTATACTGATTTGACATACTGATTAATAGTATTTTGATCCCAGCTGAATAACAGTCAGATATTCAGTTTCAATGGAAAATAGTTTCCATTATAGTTGCTTTTGAAAAAACAGATTGATTCATATCACCTAGAGCTAAGGAGAAATTTCCTGACAGAACAATTAATCAGTGGAACAACCTGCCTCCAGAAGATGCAAATGCTCCAACACTGGAAGTTTTTAAGAAGAGACTGGACAGCCATTTGTCTGAAATGGTATAGGGTTTCTGGCCTGAGCAGGCGGTTGAACTAGATAACCTCTAAGGTCCCTTCCTCCTCCTCCTCCTCCTCCTCCTCCTCCTCCTCCTCCTCCTCCTCCTCCTCCTCCTCCTCCTCCTCCTCCTCCTCCTATTGATCATCACACAGTCAGCCAGATGTTCAGACTTGATTTGGCATTTTTGTCTACCTACCAAGTCCTTATCAAGGACCTGGGATAGGCAGATGTGGATGTTTGATAGTATTACAGATATCGTCGCAGGATGGAAGCAGTTCCTAGTAAGGCCGCCTTTTGCAATTGACTAATGGCGAATTTGTCAATGCCAATGTTGTTCAAGTGGTGCTCCAGTTGTTTTGGGATTGCACCCGAGGTGCCTATTAGTATTGTACTACCCTTGCTTGCCTTTGCCACAGTCTTTCTATTTCTATTTGTAGGTCTTTGTATTTTGTTATCTTCTCCAGTTCTTTTTCCTCTATTCTGCTGTCTCCAGGCACTGCCACGTCCACTATCCAGATTTTTTTGTCTTTCTTATCGACAATTGTTAAGTCCGGGGTGTTATGTTGCAGGTGCTTGTCTGTTTGAATTCTGAAGTCCCAGAGCAGTTTAACTTTATCATTTTCTATGGCTTTCTCTATTTTATGATCAGACCAGTTATTGCTTACAGGCAAATGATATTTCTTGCAGATCTTCCAATGCACCATTGTTGCTACTTTGTCATGCCGCTGCTTGTAGTCAGTCTGTGCAATCTTCTTGCAACAGCTTACCAGGTGGTCCACTGTTTCTTCAGCTTCTTTGCATAGGTAGCACTTACAGTCTGTTGCTGTCTTCTCAATTTTGACTTTATATGCATTTGTCCTTAAGGCTTGGTCTTGTGCAGCCAGAATTAGTCCCTCGCTCTCTTTCTTCAATTTTCCTGCTCTTAGCCATTGCCAGGTCTTGTTAATATCTGCTTTCCCAGCTATTTTTTTAAATGTATTGGCCATGTAGTGCTTTGTCTTCCCATGCCTCTATTCTGTTCTTCATTTGGTCTTTCTTGTAGGCGAGTTTGGTCTCTCCAGTAATCAGTAAGCCTTCCTGATATACTAATTTCAGTGCATCTTCATCATTGTTCTTCAGATATTCTTCCAAAGCCATTTTTTTTCTTCAACCATCTGATGTACTTGTAGCATTCCACGTCCACCTATTTGCCTTGGTAGATAAAGTCTGTCAATGTCACTGCATGGATGAAGGGCATGATTCATTGTCATTATTTTTCTGGTTTTCCTATCCATTGCTTTAATTCTGCTTGAGTCCAGTCCACTATTCCAGCTGTGTATCTAATGGCTGGAATTGCCCAGGTGTTGATTGCCTTTATGGTATTTCCTCCATTGAATTTGGATTTTAAGATCTTCTTCACTCTCTTGATGTATTCACCTCTAATCTTTTTCTTGACTTCAGTGTGCTTGATGTTGTCAGCTTGAAGGATACCCAAGTATTTGTAGTACTCTTCCTCATCCAGACTCTTAATGTTATTTTCGTGGGGCATCTTGATTCCTTCAGTTTTCATTATTTTTCCTTGTTTGATAGTAATTGTGGCACATTTGTCCAAGCCAAACTCCATTACAATATCTTGGCTATATATACGGACAGTGTTGAGCAGCAATTCTATTTCAGATGATGTTTTTCCATCAGCTTCAGATCATCCATGTAAAGGAGATGGGATAGTCTGGTAGATGTTTTTGATGTTTGATAGCCATGTCCTGAGTTATTCAGTATTGTTGACAGAGGAAACAGTGCAATAACAAATAGTAATGGTGATAATGAATCTCCTTGAAATATTCCTCTCTTGATATTAACCTCTCCCAGTCTCTCACCATTGATCTGCAACTGTGTCCTCCATTGTGCCATCGATCTTTGCACAAATTTTCTGATGTTTCTACTGACTCCTGTTATTTCTAGGCACTTTATTATCCAATCATGTGGCAGAGAGTCAAATGCCTTTTTGTAGTCAATCCATGCCACATTTAGGTTGGTCTTCCTTCTCTTGCAGTTTTCCAAAATCATTTTGTCTATTAGGAGTTGATCTTTTGTTCCTCTGCTATTGGGGCGGTTTCCTTTTTGCTCAGGTGGAAAGAGATTGTTTTCAACTAGATGCTGTTGTACTGCGTTAGCTATCACACCAGTTAGTAATTTGAAAGTTGTTGGCAAGCAGGTAATTGACCTGTAGTTGCCTGGTGTTGCCCCTTTTGCTGGATTTTTCATTATTAGGTAGGTTTTCCCAGTTGTTAGCCACTTTTCAATTTCTCCTCCTTGTAGTATATTGTTGAACTGCTTGGCAATGAGTGGGTGTATAACAGTTAGATGTTTCAACCAAAACCCATGTAGTTCATCTTCACCTGGTGCTGACCAATTTTTGATTTTCCTTGCTCTTTTTTCTACAATTTTTTTTGTTATTACTAGTTCTTTCATTTCAATTTCTGTTTTATTTGCATCCACCTCTTTTAACCAAGCCGCATCCTTGTTGTATTTCTTTGGGTTATCCCATATCTCAAAGCCTTACCAGAAGTAATTCAGAATGTAGAAACAAACCAGGGGGACTTGGCAGTGAAGGAATCCAGCAGAGATATACAACTGTTCTCATTTGGAAACCAGGCACCTCTTCCTCAGGAAGAACAAAACTCTCTAACTAAAGAAATAAAAGAATTGAAACAAAGAATAACTGAGCATTTAGAACAGCACAAAAACAACAGAATAAGGCATCCTGCATTGAAGTTTGTTCCAAAGAAACAGCTAGCACAAGCAGTAAAAGATGCAAATACTGCAATATCAAGTATAAGCACCAATTCACTGCAAGAAACAAACCAACTAATGTACAGCACAGCGGCAGTTATAACTGAATACCTGGGATGCAAAATCAACAAAGAAGAAAAACAAACAAACAGTGCACCACAAATATATATATATATCCCACCACCTACCTGGAAAAAACCACCAGATCCAAAATAAAAGCCTCCCCCATTAGCGAAGAGATCCAGCAAAGAATCATTCCCAGAGAGAAATCATCCAGATGCCCCAAACTCTATGGTCTCCCCAAGATACACAAAGAAGGAACCCCACTCAGACCTATAGTCAGCTCCATAGCTCACCTCTACAAAACCTAGCCAAATTTCTCGCCAAAGAACTACAGCCCTATGCAGAATCCATCACCTCACACGTAAAAAACTCATTCCAGTTTATAAAGATCATAAAGAAACAAAACTTACAGCCCAGCGACCTACTAGTGAGCTTCGATGTCATATCCCTCTTCACCCAAGTGCCTATCAAAGAAGCCTTGACAGCTATTCAAAACAAATATAACCCCCCCAAACACATCTTAGATCTGACCAACCACTGCCTATCCAACACATACTTCATCTATAATGGACAAAAATACAAACAAACAGAAGGAGCACCCATGGGATCACCCCTCTCACCTGTCATTGCCAACCTCTACATGGAACACTTTGAAACCCAAGCTCTAGAAAAATCGGATCACAAACCCAAACTCTGGCTCAGATACGTAGACGACACCTTCATAATCTGGCCACATGGGAAAGAAAAACTGGACAACTTCCTCACACACCTCAACAGCCTACACCCCAAAATACAGTTCACCATGGAAACAGAAGCTAACAACCAACTTCCCTTCCTGGATGTCTTAGTCTACAAGAAATCCAATGGCTCCCTAGGACACACCATCTACCAGAAGAAAACACACACAAACCGCTATCTGCACGCTCTCTCACACCACCACCCAGCACAGATCAACTCTGTAGCCAAGACACTCATCTCCAGAACAAAACGCTTAGCTGACGAACAACACCTAAAACCCGAACTACACACTCTCACCAATGTACTAACATCCAATGGATTCCATAGAAATAAGATTACAAACCTAATCCAAAAAGAAACCCCCACTAAAATCCAAGACAAAGAACAAGAAAACGGCAAAGCCCTCCTCCCATACATAAAAGGCACCACAGACAGAATCAGTAAGATCCTCCATAAACACAACATCAAAACAGCATTCTGCACAAACAGAAAAATATCCACCATCCTTAGAAACCCCAAAGATAAAATTGAATTAGAAAATCAAGGAGTATACGAAATCCCATGCACCACTTGTCCCACCACATACATCGGACAAACCAACAGAAGAATAAGTGCACGCATTGAAGAACATAAGAACTCAGTCAAAAAAGAGGAACCAACATCTTCCCTGGTCCAACACCTTAAAGCCACAGGACATGAAATTGACTT